TGGTAGTTACCTTGCTGTCTATGGGAGGGTCAGAGAGCCCTCATATTTCATCAAAAATATCTTAAATTTTGTTCCGAAGATGAACGAAGGTCTTACAGGTTTCGAACAACACGAGGGTGAGTAATTAATGACAGCATTTTCATTTTTGGGTGAACTAACCCTTTAAGTTCATTTAAATTAGAAGTTGAATTTTTTAAAGTCTAATAAAGTTAAAATGTTTTAAAGTCTAATAAATGTTAAAATTGATTACCCTCAATTATACTGTAATGTTGAATGGCTATAGTTAATGGTTATACATTAGGAAAAAAGAACACTTTCCTAGATATATCAGTAGTATTGATAACAGTGATACTCGCCTTCTTTTATAAAAAAGATGCCATTAAACAAATATTAAAAATATACTGTCTTTATGTTGTTTCTACGTTAATTTTAAGATTGAACATGAAATGATTGCAATATAAAAGTATATTTAAAAACTTTAATGTTAGGCGGGATTAAACGTGATTAATTTCAGAAAAAAATGTGATTGATTCGTTAATTTTTTTAAATCGATTGACAGCACTAATTATAAATGTAGAGAAATCTTAAGGATGGTTTCAAACTGATTTCAAACTATTTATTCAAACAATTTAACAATTTGTGAGATGGAGTCATGGTTGTGACACAGACAATATAACAGTTGCTCACTAGGTGCAATATGGAAATGACTGACTTTAACATCATTTAATATAACATAAGGCTGACTTTTATTTACCTCCTCCCCCTTTAGAAATTTTACAAAAGGCATATTTTCTAGTCTATAGTATTTTTTTTTATTTTTCACTATGTCAAGAACGTTGATAACATAAAGAGAAAATCAAGTGTGAAGATTAAACAAGTTTCGTCCCATGTCTCAAGAATCAAAGAGCACTCATAATTAAAACCACCAAATCATCTGCGGAGATAAGATGGTGAGAGCTTCATGCTTAATTGATGGGGTTTTGCAATCTTGAAGTCACTTTAAAGGGGTCATATGATGCGATTTCAATTTGCAACATCATATGACCCCTTTAAAATATTTGTGCAGCCCAACCGGCATTGACCTCACTCTTCAAACATCTTTTGCAAACAATTTTTTTTATTTGAAATAAAACGCTATTATAATGTATGTAGATTTATGACACAGTCTGTAGCATTATTAGTAGTATAAATCACTACGGAATTCCAGAGCTGTGCCGAGTGGTTTTACAGATAAGATAAAGCCTTTGTTCTCTTTATCATTCCTACAGTAAATTCCAGATCCTCATCAAGCAGTAAATATGACCCTGACATCCTCAAAGCGGAGATTGTTACAGCAAAAAGCCGGGTAAGAAGCTCTTCCACCTAACATGGATCCTTTGATTATTTGCTGTGAATGCTCTCTTGTTTATGTAAGACACAAATTGGGTGTTATCTTTGCGGCGCTCCGTACTTCATGGATTTTGGATGTGATGATAAGAAGCGAGATTACGCCTAATGCCAAATGTAAGATGTCTTGTAATTATGCAAGTGTCTCATTCATTCACCTGCTCATTTTCTCTCTCTTGCTGTCTTTTGTTCAGGTAAATAAGCTGAAGAGAGATTTGGCCTGTATGAGGCAAGAACTCCTTTATAAGGAGCAAGGCTTTGAGACATTGAAAGAGTAAGTGTAACCGGACCTCATTGCATGCATGATCACGTTCCAGACAACTGATCGCTTCCTTGTTTAAACTTATTCCAATCTAAAACCATCTTGTCTTTGTGCAAGACAAAAACATATCATCTTATCTCTTGGCATTTTATGAGCCCATTGTCACTTTATTGTGATGGAGCAATTTCACATTTGGTTTGTCTGTGGTTGTAAAACTTGATATTTTTACTATTTTCAGAACTTTATGCACCTCAGTGTGAAGCTATTCATATTTCATATTATTTTATATCATGGTTGATAGATTGTCTTAACAGCTAGTCGACTAGTCCAGTGATTATAAATTGGTGATTCTTAAATTTGTTTCTGAGGCCCTGTTTACACTAGTGTGTTTTAGTTTTAACTGGAAAACAATTCTGTTGACAGCATGGAAAAACAATACTATAATGCAAATAATAAAATTTCTTTAAACTTACTATATCTTTGGTTGTTTATGGCAAAGGCTGTCCATTTTGTAAAACTATTTTGGCTAAAAAAATCTCATATTTTGACTTTTGTGTCAGTTTGACCATAATGACTGTTACTCATAAGTGCACATTAGCAAACTTTCAATGAAATTTTCACAGCAAAAAAAACTAATTGTCTTAACAGTTAACAGTGCAGCTATGTACAAAGCAGAGTTTTCATAGTGATCACTTTCAAACCAAGCTGCTTTCTGCTGGTCAATTTTCAGCATAACCAACTTGAAACTGAATCTCTGAATCTTCATTCGGAAATCATTCACTGGGCACAAAATTCCTGATTGCATGGATTCCTATTGAAATGACTGGATATCTGCCCCAGAAATTTGCTTAATAATGGTAGTTGCGACCACACCTTTGATAAAGCTCCGTGAATTAAGAATCCAGAAAAAATAACCTAAACAAACATGTCAAACCTCAATAATAGACCAGTCCATTACTGAATCACTAGTCGACCCTTCTGACCACCCCTGCTTCATATCAGGAGCTTAAAAATGTTCAGTCCTTGTTTTTCCACCTGTAATTGCTCAAGATATTTTTCCAGCAGGGCTGTTTTAGGAAGCCGTTGACTTAAAGCTTTGGATTGGGCTCTTTTTGTATGTGAAAGGGCGTTGAGATGCTGGGCTGATTCCTGTTGACTGTCTCCCTTTCGTTCTCTTGCCCAGAGGAATGTGGACTAACCTGTTGCTCAGGTCTGCACATGACTTACCGATGACTCTCTTTACATGCCCCCTTCTGCTAAACAGAGCCACCCCCCACCCCCTAGTGAAGCTTGTCATTCCAGGAAATCGCAAACAAAGCATTCAACAGAGATGTATACGAAACTTTCTCTGTTAATGCATTCTATGGGACCTCATGCCTTACTCATTTTGATCCTTGTATTATTTTCCTGTTCTTGATGGCTCATATTACTACTATGGTGGTTTGGTAGTAGCCATAGCTAATTGCTCTGGGTATCAGTTGGCTTCAAATATAGGGAAGCATTTTTGGACAGTTCTCAAACAGAGATACTTTGGTAGTCATGCATGTGATTGACAGCCAGTTTCAGCAGGAAGTATGTTAGTAGTTTGATTTGTTTTTGTGAATTGATTCATTCGTATGGTTTGTTTCAATGAACTGATTCTAGGGTTGAACAAATAATCAAAATAAAACTGGAATCAGGATTACGGCTTAGCGATTATGAAATCGCAAAGGCTGCGATTTGAATTAAATATATGCACTGGGTGTTTCACAAAGTAAAACCCAGAGGCGTTGTAGATCCTTTTCACCGTGGCACAAGTCCCCTGTAAAGAATCGCTGTGCCCAAGTAAAATATTATTGGTAAATCTTTGTATGTCAGTGAAGATTATGATGTATACCGACCTGAGAATAACTTTTTCTAATAATATTTCAGCAATCAAGTCCTGTGTTTTTTCAGCTGTTTAGAGCTAGTGATCTCAGATTTTCCAATGATAAATTAAAAAAACACTGAGTGAGCAAAAATTTGTGAGATAGCTAGTGAATAATGTTTACATATGTATAAAAGCCTACATTAAAATCTGCCATATAAATTGTTCTCTTCATTAGAAATTAGCCTACTGATTATCACCATTGATGGACAACATTTTTTAATAATATTAAAAATATCTATATGACATTATATTCTGCAGTTCTTCCCTGCTGTACCGAATATCTATACTTTTCAAATTATCATATCGAAGTTAGAAATTCAAATATTGTGACAAAATTAATTTTGTAGGGTGCCACAAGTTTGTTAAAATTTCCAAAGGGTGCCGCGACTAAAAAAAGTTTGGGAAACACTGATCTAAACGCTCAAACAGGTTTGCAAAAAGGTTTGAAATTGTTGGTGATTCAGTTTGTTTCATTAAGACAGTCCATTCAATAAAATAAAAATAGTATTGTAGTATTTTAAGTGCTTAATTCTTTATTTTACAATATAAAATTTATTTTGTTTTATGCTTTTATTTAGTAGTAGTAAATAATCATCATCAGACATCATCATCATCGTTTTATTTTACAATACAAAAAATGAGTCAGGTTCCAAATAAAGTGTCTCTCAGAGTTAAGTGAATTCTGAGTGTGATGTGAATGATTCAGCTGAATCATCAAAAGAAACTTGTTCAAAAGAACAATTGGGTTGTTTCACAATGATTGCAAATTGACCTTTTTTGTTTTACTTTGTCTTTCATCAGAATTGATCACAAAGTGTCCAGTGCCTCACATGGCTACAAACTGCATGAAGCCCAGGCCATCCTGAAGGAAGTGAAGACCATTAGAGATGCCATCAGCTCTGGGGAGAAGGAGAAACAGGAGCTCATGCAGGTAAAAATGAAGCTTGATCTCTTTGAACCTTGATTCAGTTTTCAGTATATTCTATGAGCAATGACACCCTGAATGAAGCGTTTAAACATCGCCTAGCTCACAAAAGGTCAAAATGTTACACCTTGACAATGTTCTGGGAACACATTCCTGCATTCTTTCGTCATTCGGACATTGTGGAGAAATTTTTGTCTCAGTTCCAGGTGTACATATAAGCGTAGACAGGCCAGTGATACTCTATAATGGCTAAGTACACACTAGAGAAGTAGGCAAACAATCTATCCAAATAAAAACCCCAGTGAATTGCTCTACTCGCTGCATAATTATAGCCAATCTGATTGTCATAATAAGCTAATGTGTTTAAGCAGATTGGAGTGGTTGAGTAAGGTGGGGCTTTTCGCTGAAGACAACAATCACAAACACATACTTTTACCGACATTATTTGTCTTTTACCCTCACAAAAATGTGTAGAAATATTTGACATAATACAGTTGTGTATATGCAAATAGAACCAGGACACTCAAACTTTGTGAGACATAGTGCTTTTTCAAGCTTTTCACAAATTTTCTATTCATATCTGACTTTTGTTGTTGATGTGTTGGGGGTTTGGGGTCACAATATTACTGTTTTTACAGTATTTTTAATCAGATAAATACGGACTTGTTGAGCATAAGAAACAAAGAAAAAAATCTTACTGGCCTTATGACTTTTGAACATAATGTACATAATGTACGCATATACTACCATGCTATCTTTATCTGTAAACTTTTAACAGACAGTTTTTTTCATGGCATCACAACAGTCAATTCATAAAATAATAAAAATAAACACATTTTGAAACTTAAACTCTAAAAAACTTCAGACAAAAGTGTACAGTACATATACATAATGTCATGAGTTTTGATTCAAATTTATCCTCGAGAAGTAAGAGTATAGAATGCAACTCAATCCAAAATGTACACCACATCATGTTTTTATCAGTAATGAATATTTGGTTATAATAATAATTCATATAATGTGACAACGGGTGAATGTGAGGATCCGTTTGTTTGATCTGAGTGTTTGCACTAGCATTGCAGAGTGTGAAGTTTAATGTTTTGTTAACCTACTGCTCTTGAATGTAGGCCTAAAGAAAATATTTGGTTATGTACTCTTTGCGTCCTTACCGTAATGTACAAATCTTTGTACATTTTACTGGAGGCTTAAATTTTGTCAAGTTTGCTTGTGTGTTGTTTATGTAATTGGACTCATTGCTTGTAGTAACGCAAATTCAAAGAAGCCAGTGAAGACAAAGTGTTTTGCCTCCCTTTGGCCTCCCATTTTGGTGGCCCTATCAAAATTCAACCTCATTTTTTAAAATATGTATTATAGAGTTCCTAGTTTTTTTATATATAATTGCGAACACATACAAAAGTTTGGGATCGTCAGATTTTTTATGTTTTTGAAAGAAGTCTCATATGCTCGCCAAGGCTGCATTTATTTGAAAAAACAGTAATATTGTGAAGTATTATTAATGGACTCTTTTCAGAAGACTGTGATGACGCGTTTCAACGGTCATCAGCATCGTAAATCCTCCTAAAGTTTTTTATAGTTTGATTTTTTTTTTAAATGTATGTACGCTCATTGGCTGCATATGCAGCATGAACCAATCACCTTGTGCCAAGTCGTTTAACTCTCTGAATATCATCAGTTACATTAACAACCCGTCAGCCTGCGCCATCTAGAGTTTCATAACTGAACTGTATATTTATAACACTATACTTTGTAATTTGATGCAAAGGTGATATAATACAAAAAAAACTAGTTAACGCTAATGCGAGGGTGTTTCTAATGCAGTGTCTATGGGAGGGACAGTAAATTTGACATTGTTCTCTCTTCTGACTGCCGTTATCAGTCTCTCTCAATTTTTTTTCCCTTTTTTTGAAAGTCGTGAAAACACGTGGAATTTTTCTTTTGCTATAATAGCTTTCATATATTTAAAAAAAATTGTGTGATTGCAAAGCTGAATTTTCAGTAGCCATTACTTTAGTCTTGTGTCACATGGTCCTTCAGAAATCATTCTGATAAGCTGATTTGATGCTCATTTCTTATCAATGTTGAGAACAATGCTGCTTAATATTTTTGTAGAAACCTACAAAATGAATTGAAATTTATTTTATTGAAATAGTTTTTTTTTTTGTGGCAATAAAATTATTAATTTCTTAAAAAACAAAAACCTACTTTCTGACCCCAAACGTCTGAATGGTATTGTATGTTTGGCAGATGGAGTCTTCCCAAATGTCACTGTAGTGTTTAAGCTTTCAGAGCGAAGCTTTTATGTTCTCAGTGAGCCTAAGCTGACCTCATTTTTCATTGGGTATAATGCCTTCTTGTTTTTCCTTTTCTTTGTCGTCTTTTATTTATTTATTTATTTATTTCCAAGTCTTTCCTCACACTGTTCCACGAGCATATGGAGAGGCAGGCGGTGCTAAATAATGCATGCCCCCCGCTGCAGCTGGCAGACTTCTTCAATCATGCGTGTGCTTGCCCGTTACATGCGCACTCATAGCTTTGTGTTGCTTTCTTGCAAATAAACTCTCGTCCCTGTAGTCTCACTGCCTCTCTTTGCTCATCACTTAATAATCACACAGGTAACTTCAGTTCTAACACAGGAGGTGTCAGACGACTGAATTATGCTTAAGCCCGTTGGCAGTTGTCATCTCAGGAATGTTTTGAATGAGAGAGAAGAGAAAATAGAGGTCAAAGATTTTCTGACCTCACCTAAAGGTGAACTGTTGCAAAAAGGGCAATATCTGACATCTGATTATGGTATTTCTTTTAGAAACTGGCTGTGCTGAAGGATGGTTTCCAGTTAGATTATGGCTCTCAGTCTGACCTGTGGGCCAGCAATCCGTCCTTGGCCAACTCAAACCTCTCTCTGCCCCGCCTCTACTCAGACGCCGAGTCTCAAACAGACATACCTGCTGAGGTGAGAGACAGCCTTCAGAGCTGGGTTTTACATGGTTGTAAATGATGAATGACTGTGGTCTCTTTTAGTGGTTTCACAATGTGCAAGTCATTTGTTGGGTAAAATGTCTTTTATAATTTCAGAGATTTTTATTCTTTTTTAAAATTGTTATTCTTTTTGATTTAGTTTGTATCAAACTCAAATAAACTGGCTGAGAAGGTACGACTGAGCCTGAAATATGAGGAGGCAAAAAGAAGGTATGTGTTTTTCTTCTGAATTTCCTCCTATAAATTATTAGTTTTTAACTAGTGGTCAGTCAAGTTTTTCAATCAGTGATGCCAGTGTTTGCAGAGCAGGAGGACTGATGGTCGATATAATGTGGGGGGAAAAAAGTATATATATGACCAAGAGGTTTGATACCATATTGAAAATCTGGGATCCGCAGTGTAATCTAAACTTGGAAATAAACTGAAAGTTTTAAAAAATGTAAAACAAAGAAATAATAAGGACATAAAAAAATGTATGAATAAAATATTTAAGCTTTTGCACAATATTTGAGTCACTTATCAAATAAGCAAGAGGGCAACATTCCAACTTCTAAGGAAGAAGTCTCTTAAGCTGCCTTTCCACTGCACACGACATTCGGACAATCTATCCAAATAAAAACCTAAAACTGCCTAGTGGCAGTCGCACAGAACTTTCAAACTGGTCGTGCAGCAACCATTACCTCAGCTCATTCACCATGGTAAAATGAATAAGAGTGCATAATATGAATGCATCGTCACAAATCAAATGACCCCCAAAATAAAAACATAGTAGGTTTTATGGGGCTAATCAACGTAAATAATGATTTAATAATTATAAAATAATTATTTCTGCCATAATTATTCTAAAGCACCATTTTACAGAAGTAGTGTTTAAAGAATAATGTTAAAGTTAACAAAATATTGGTAATTCTAACCTTACGCTCATAGTTTTTAATAGAATACATCACAGTCGGGCGGTCGCATATGGTCTAGCCACAGAAGTTTAAATATTTTAATGCATCCGAAGCTCAAATCGGATCCGAATTTTCCGCATACGCATATGATCGGAACTCCAAGCAGCTCCCGCACTACTTTCCATTGGAAATGAATGACTTCCGGTCTGTCGCTTGTCGTTCATCTGAGATAGTGGAAAGACTATCTTGGTTATGCTCACCAAGGCTGCATTTGTTTGATCAAAAATACAGTAAAAACAGTAAAATAGTGAAAAGTTACTTGTACAAACAATTTATAATAACTGTTTTGTATTTTAATATATTCAGAAATGTAGTTTATTCCTGTGATGACAAAGCAGAATTTTCAGCAGCCATTACTGAAGCCTTCAGTGTTACTTGATCCTTCAAAAATCATTCTAATATGCTGATTTGATGCTCAAGAAACTTGAACTTTCTATTCATCATAGAATTATAAAAAAATGTATGATGGTTTCCACAAAAATTCTAAGCAGCAAAAACTGGTTTCAGCATTGATAACCAACCAATAATTGAGCAGCATTCAGAACATTTTAATTTGTATTAAATACAGTACTGTTTTACTGTATATTAAATTAAATAATACAGCCTCAGTGAGCATAAGAGACTTCATTCAAGAACATCTTAATTATTCCAAAATTTTGACCTGTGTACAAACACGTACACAGACACACTCACACACACACACACACTGTATGTATTATATACTGTATATATATATATATATATATATATATGTGTATATATATATACACACACACACATACATGTATACATATAAAGCTGAATAGGATTTTGAAATCAACCAAGTGCTATGTTTGTCTATGGCAATAGTTTAATGCTTAACTTTCTTTACATTGCCTACCAAGGCTGCATTTGTTTGATCAAAAATACAGTAAAAACAGTAAAATAGTGAAAAGTTACTTGTACAAACAATTTATAATAACTGTTTTGTATTTTAATATATTCAGAAATGTAGTTTATTCCTGTGATGACAAAGCAGAATTTTCAGCAGCCATTACTGAAGCCTTCAGTGTTACTTGATCCTTCAAAAATCATTCTAATATGCTGATTTGATGCTCAAGAAACTTGAACTTTCTATTCATCATAGAATTATAAAAAAATGTATGATGGTTTCCACAAAAATTCTAAGCAGCAAAAACTGGTTTCAGCATTGATAACCAACCAATAATTGAGCAGCATTCAGAACATTTTAATTTGTATTAAATACAGTACTGTTTTACTGTATATTAAATTAAATAATACAGCCTCAGTGAGCATAAGAGACTTCATTCAAGAACATCTTAATTATTCCAAAATTTTGACCTGTGTACAAACACGTACACAGACACACTCAAATTATTCCAAACTTTTGACCTGTACACACACACACACATGTATATACACACACATATAAAGCTGAATAGGCTGTAAATTGATTTTGAAATCAACCAATTGCTATGTTTGTCTATGACAATAGTTTAATGCTTAACTTTTTTTTACATTGCTTTATTCATTTTGCTGCCATCAGGATTGCAAATATTGAGGTCCAGATTGCCAAGCTGGATAGCGAGGCGTGGCCAGGCCTTCTGGACCCGGAGAGAGATCGCCTGATCCTCATCAACGAAAAGGAAGAGCTGCTAAAGGAACTGCAGTATGTAACGCCATGCAAGCGCGCACCCTGCGAGGCAGAGAAGATCGAGTCTGAAAAGAAGCGACTCGAGAAGGACCTGCAAGCTGCACGGGACAACCAGAGCAAAGCACTGACCGAGAGGTAAGATGGATAACCGGGCCAGCAGAGTTCAATGTATTTGGTTCTGGTAGTATTTTATTTTTTCAGTCATGTGACGGAACCATAGAATCAGAATGGGATGTTCTTGCAGGTCTTTATAATGTTCCTACGATCTTTAAAGAAATTGATTTTCTTTTTTTCCATTTGTTCTTTGTTTTAAAGTATTTCAAATATCAAATAAACAAGTAAACTCATTTATCCAGCCATTGCAAATGATTGTAAAAGTCATGGGAGATTCTTGTAAATGTATTATACTACAGTCTTTTGGTTTTGATCTTTAACCACTAGGCTACACCATCCACTTAATATGCTACAGAAATAAAGGTCTGACCTAAAGTTTTTTCCCTTTCCTTGACAGCATGTTAGAACAATTTACCTGAAGCTTAGATACCCGTGGACAATAAAGGTGTAGTTATTGTGGAAACACAACAGGGCACTCATCTGGGACACTACAGCTGTGCTCTCAACACATTGGTGTCAAGGAAAATCTACTAAATAATAATTAATCAAACCCAACTTTGAAAGCCTCTTTCAGAACTTAAAAATGTTCACTAAAAGCTTGGTGTGCAGAGACCACATTTACATTATGCAAAACGAGCAGCACAGCAGTCACTTTGTCCCTCATTTACTTTACTGCAGGCCCCATCCATTATAACTGCACAATTTGGTTTTGTAAATCTACAGCTAAAATGGCAGAAGTTGAACGTCTGTATGCAAATGATTCATAATCGTCTACTAGTTTACTGCTTGTGGTTTGTAGCGAGTCTCGCACTCTTAGCAGGCACCTGTGTTTTGAGATCAGGTTGCCTAGGTGAGAGAACCAATTAGGCTTTTTTTTTTTTTGCCTGACTCACTATCTTTCATTCTCTCTCTTTCTGTTGGTCTTTTTCTCACTTGTTCTCTCTCAGTTATTTGAACAGGGTCCTTGTTCTCTACTCTAGATACTGTATCCTCGTTTAGCTTGGCGTTCAGCACTCTTCCTGTAACCTGAGCGGCACAAACGCTGGATCTAGGTTGAACACAATGTGTGCCTTCTTCAGCACTGCCATTTAATAACAAACCAATATCATTTTATTAGACCCACAGGAAGACTGTAGAGACATTGTATAATAATATTCAATTACTTAATACATATTATTTAATATAAAAAAAGACATGTTGATGGTCAAAAGAGCCCATCACATAGTCTCTTCAATATTGTCATATCATAGTTTTCAAATCATTGTCCATGTGAAAACTGTTAACTGCTTGAAAAGTAAGTGCCCACTTCTCTTGTTAAAAACACACTTGGTCTGTTCCAATTCCTAATCCCAATAATGAGCAATTGTCACAAAGATCTATCTGTTGCTTTGTTCAGGTTAAAGCTGCATTATAGAAGAAACAAACTAGTGAAGGAGCTGGAAGAGATGGTGAGGTTGGCGTCTTCCCTTCATACCCAGCTGAAAAGGTATTCTCCAACCTTGACATTTAAATAAAATATACAATACAAATGACACTCATAATATTGACTACATCTTTAATTTTTCTGTCTGTTGGCTAATCGGGATGCGCCAATCTTAATTATTCTATGCAATAAACTGGTGAATACATTAATATTAATGCCACTATTGTCAATAAACAATAAACAGCTGTAATTAAAATGTACTATAAAATAATTATTCAAATTCCGTACTGTTTTGTCTAAATAAAAATGCAACATTAAAAAAGTAAAATAAGTCATTTTAAATGCTACAAGTTTAATTGGACATTATAGTTTTATTATGACGTATATTTGTAATATTATTGAATAATTTAATTTACTCACTCTCATGCCATTTTAAACCCACTTTTGTTCATCTTTGGAACAAAAAGATATTTTTATTATTATAACAGATATTTGTAATATTCTCATTTCTCAAACAAAACAAAACAAAACAGAACAAAAAAAATGTCCATCCATTAAATGTTCATGCAAAGACAAAAAATGTAACTTGTAAATGCAAGTAATTTATTGTGCCGTTTTGAATATCAGCACCAAGGAGAAGCTGTATGTCATGAGAACTTTTCATCACTATATATGATGTAATGACTTTGCAATAAGAATGCCCAAACTTATCCAAAGAATCAGAGTTCTGAAGTTATAAAACAATGCAACCGAATGCACTTGGTAACTTAGTAACAATAGCTTTGCATTTACTTTTTATTTTGACTAATGCCCAATTCATCTTCAGCATCTAGTTAAGGCACATCAAAGGCATGTTGCATGGAGGAACAGTCCCTTGTGTCTAATGAGCCTGCCATGCCTTAATTAGCATGTTTGCTTTAAAGCAGAATGCATTTGATGTTAAGACTTGAAATAGGGTAAAATGAGATGATATGGGGGGAGAAAGATGCATGAACCGGAGCTGCTTTCTGAATAACTTCCCTGTTCTCCTTCTGTCCCCTCCCGCTGTCTCTTTCCATCTACGTCAAAATTCCAGTCTGTCAGCCAGCACGCTGTCATGTTCCTCAGGCAGCAGCCGTGGCTCGTTGACTTCCAGCCGAGGATCCCTGGCCACCTCCAGCTTGGGCTCCACTTCCTCTCTCAGCTTCACAGACATCTACCTGGAGCAGCCCGAACTGGGCGACCCTGACTTCCAGAACAAACTGGACTCTATTTTGCAGGAGGGAAGCACCTCTGGCTACAGGCCCTCCAGCTCCATCACCACCATCCATGAGAACGAGGTCTCGTCCTCCTCCAGGCAAGTCGGCAGCGGGCCGGGGGTGGGCCAGAGAACCCAAGTACTGCGGCTGTCAGAGACACCTCACTCCATGAGCTCCCTGTCCCCGCGTTCCTCGCTGTCTTCCCTCTCTCCTCCTTGCTCACCCCTTGTTACCGATGCTTCCTTCCTGTCGGGAGAGGCCTTCTCTGGTCCTGCCTCACAGTTGGATTTAGATCTGCAAACAAGGCTGATGGAACTACGGTTAAAAGAGGACCACCAACAGGGTGCAGTAGAGTCTTTGAAAGGTACCATGAACAAAACTGCTTTATAGCTTAACTCATTAGGCATTTGCACATGAACATTTGTATTACGAATAGATGCCTTTTAATTCTTGCCATGGTAAAGGTTATTGTTTATAGGTAAGTTAACTAAAGGATTAATCGACTGATCAGAAAATAATCTACAGATAAATCGTAAAAATAATCATTAGCTAAGCTGAATAAACTGGGGAAAAAAACAATAGAGATCCGCAATCCAGAATTCCATCTGAAACTAGAGAAACCCTCTGAATGTCTAGTACAATAGGGTAGATTTACAGCTCACTCCCAACTAGCCCAGCAGGTGAACTCACTCGAGATCAGGAACCTAACACCCATCCAGAGTGACGTGGTGTCACATTTCTACTCACCCCTTTTCTGTGCCTGCAGATGCTGTTACGCAAACAAGGATGTCTGGGCCAGAATTGAAGAAGGCAGGAGTAACGTCAGCAGTGTCTGACGAATCAGTAGCAGGTGATAGTGGGGTATACGAGCCCTCAGAGAAAAGGTAGGCCTCTAGAGTTTTGTTATCAGTTACGTTTTATCACAGACCCTGATTTGGATAGTAAAATGGTGCTGTTCATTCCCACAGGTCGGGGCTTCCTGTTGAGCAACAGCTGGGCTATGATGACGGGAGCTCAGCAAGCAGTGCTCAGATCAAACTCGGCCTGAAGTATGAAGCGAAAGACAAGAGGTTCACAGTGTTCGTAATGCAGCTCTCCAACTATAGCGCACTCTCCCTGCCAGCCAACCAGAACATGTGAGGATTGCGCTCTCTCAGCCAGCTTCATTTAAAGTTGATGGAGACATTAATTTTAATCAGCAGGATGTAATTTTGATGAAGCATCTCTGCTAGGGAAATGGGCTGGCTTTTACTAATGGAATTAACCCATTCAATTGTTGTCAAATATAAAATGTAATATAAAATGGAGAAATCGATTCACAGATGCTTTGTCATTCTTTCTCAAATGATTCTGGATCAGTCCATAAAAATAATTAAATGTGACTGAGAGTTAAAGGGATAGTTCACCCAAAAATTAAAATTCTGTCATCAATTACTCACCCTCGTGTCATTCCAAACCTGTAAGACCTTTGTTCATCTTCGGAACACAAATTAAGATATTTTTGATGAATTCCGAGAGCTCTCTGACCCTCCCATAGACAGCAAGGATCTTAACACGATCAAGGCTCAGAAACGTAGTAAGGACATCGTCAAAACAATCCATGTGACATCAGTGGTTCAACCGTAATTTTACGAAGCTATGAGAATACTTTTTGTG